GTATATATATATATCTACATATTCAAGTACATAATAGGTGGGAGTAATATTAGACTCATATACATTGCATACTTTCGCTGTGTAACAATTCGCATATTCTACAGGTGACATTCACGGACAGTTCTACGATCTACTCAGGCTGTTTGATTATGCCGGGTTTCCACCGTTCGCAAACTACTTGTTTCTGGGCGACTATGTGGACAGAGGGCGGCAGTCGATTGAGTCCGTGGTTTTGATGTTGGCGTATAAAATCAAGTATCCCGAAAGTTTCTTCATGTTGAGAGGTGAGCTCCGATTGTGCACGTCCCTACTTTTTATATCCACCATATGCATATATACAAATATGCGAGTATACACGCATGCCAGGTTAGTTCCTCTACAGTGTGCTCGAATAAAGCCGGCCTGTATTTGCATCTTCAGGTCGTATTTGACTTATCTGACAACTACTATCGACGACACAGCTAAGCCTGTCACATTCTTGGGGCAGAGACATTTTTCATGCCATTGTGCTCAATACTATGCAGCATACCCTCGCGATTAATAGTGTAGTTTTCTGATCACCTTATATGCATACAGTTTACTGAGAGATTGTCATATCCTGCAATAAAATATATGCTTATACACACACACATACAAACATTCGTATATATATACGATGTGTATGTATCAGCAAGTGTACTCCATGTACACAAAAATAATTTAAAATTTCACTAATAAGTTTGTATCATGTACTGGTTTCAAACTGAATGAGTGGTGCATTGAAAACACACTACCGTTGACTGCGTGAATGACTATTCGTGTAATGTGTATGCGTGCAAGAGCTAATATCGACTGCTTGTGCATCAATCTCGTATTCGTAGTATGGTTTCTATTGTACATATTGCCTACTATTAAATCCGTTAGGCGCCGCATTCATGCCTGACAATCCCTGTAGAGCAACCAAAATGGCCTGTGCGTTTTATTGCATACCTTTTGCCGGCCTGTATATCTATAGTAGGCCTTGTTTTAACAGTACGCACCCATGAATTGCAATTCCTTTTCACACAGGTAATCACGAGTGTGCGTCCATCAATCGCGTGTACGGCTTCTACGATGAGTGTAAGCGGCGGTATAGTATCAAGATGTGGAAAACGTTTACGGATACGTTTAATGCCATGCCTTTCGCAGCTGTGGTGGCGAATAAGATCTTCTGCTGTCACGGCGGGTTGTCACCGGATCTCAAGAGTTTACAGCAGATACAGCGAATCAAGCGGCCTACAGATGTACCCGACGAAGGTATGTAATTTTTTTACATAGACAATATATATATATATATATATATATATATACGTACACACATACGCACACGCACAACAATATATATATTATATATATATATATATATATATATATATATATATATA